TTTAAGTTTTCAAATTTCTTCAACGACTATGGTTTAATTTTAACATTAATATGAAATTAACGAAAATAACTATTGCATTATTCTTCTACTAATCAGAATATCTAGTTTATTAAGGTGACCTATATTTTGATCTCTGGATTCTTAACCTTTCTGGAATCTGTTTTGTCAGAATCCTAAAATGTTGAAGCCAGTCTGAGTTTGAATTTATAAATCCACTAATCCCTCCTTTGTGATCAGAGCACATCACTTAGTCACTTATGCCTAAATTTCCTCATCTGGAAAATGAGAAAATAACAAGCATTGTCTCACAGGCAGTGAAAAAGATGAAATGGGTTAGAATGTACAAAGCCTTTAAGAGTGGCCCACATTTAGTAAACACAAGCCCATTTGTTTTTAAAATTGGGGTCAGTATATTTTGGGGATGAGAAGAAAGATATTTTAATTTTTTATGTGTCTATAACAACCTAGTTTTAAAGGAAACCTCCAGGCCTCTGAGTGTTCTCATGAAAATAGAGCACATACTATAAAGAAAGACTGCTTTCTTTATAGCAAATAGACTCTATACCTCTCATTACAAATTAATACCAAGAAAGACAAACCTCATACAAATGTTTTTAATTACCTAAGTTAGATATTTGAAAATACATCCTCGCACAGGTACACTAACTAAATACTTTGGTTTAAGGACATTAGAGAAATACCCCTGTGTAACAAGAGAATTAATTATTGTTCTAATAGTGAGCATCAAAATTCCTCTTAGGGAACTATTCTGATAAACTACTTGGTGTGGAAACTCAAATCCTTAGAGACAAGCTAGCATGAGATGATGTCACGGCAGAGAAAGTTGAACTCTTCAGCATTAGAAAGGAAAAGAACTTCAGAAGATTGAAGAGATAAGATATTGCAGCGTTTATGAAAGAACAGCAAGAAAATGTTAAGGAAAGGAGGCTTCGATGTTACGTCTTAAGGTTGTTTTACTGCTTGGTTTTGGCGATGTGACACCCTGGCATTCACACACACCCACTGGCCTCTGAAGCTTCAGTGAACTCAGGTTTACTGGTGGAGAGTGTTCTTATTTATTTAGTTCAGCTTTTGGTTTTGTGATGCAGATCATGGAAAGAGGCCAGTTCCACAACTCCTTTGACATGCTTTGGGACAGGCACAGATCTGTGAGATAAGGATGCTATTAGTTCACAGAAACAGCTCTTAACCAGAGGTGAGCATTATTAGAACACAAATAATTCTCTCCCTATTCCCAGAACCCTCTACACTATAAACTTTCAGAAATGCGAGTTGGTGGTCTATGAGTATATTCTCTAACTCTAGTCACTGTTTTCCCTCCCCAGTCCACCCCCAATTGCTCTTGAACATACCCCTATCAGGTCTTCACTCTTGTCAAGGACACTAGAGACCTCTAAATAGCTAGTGCCAATTAATGGTCAATTTTCAGTTTTTGTCTAACTGAACTTTCCACAATTTATCATCTGTTCTCTATGAAATGCTTTCCTCGTTAGATGTCCAGAACAACACATCTATTTATTTTGTCCATAGCTTCTTGTCAACTGGTAGCCTTTACTGGCTCCCAATCTCCATAATGACTGGACATTGGATCAGTCCTTCCTTGTTCCTATTCTCTTTTATACCTGCCTTCACAGCTTTGGTGGTCCTCACCATCCCGACATGCTGGCAAATGGATTTCCCTAGACGATTACTCACCCAAATGCCATAGCTATAAATTCAGTTGTCTACTTGAATTTCTCCCAGACATCAAGGTGCCACCTATATACTTAATAGACTTAATGTCAGTCTCAAATACTACCCTTTTCCACAATTGTTCTGTCTCAGTAAAAAGCAATTCCATTTTTTGAATTCTCAGACTAAAAACTTTAGAATTGCCCTTGGTACCTCTCTTTCTTTTATATCCCGCATGCTGTTCAGCAGTGAATTTTTGTCTGTACTTTTGATTCATATTCAGAATTGGACCATTTCCGACTACCTCACTGGTAATATCCTAGTCTACCAGGCAACCATCATATTTTTCCTGAATTTTGCCATATACTCTTAACTGCTTTTATGCCTCTGACCTTTCCCCCTATATCAGGGTCTCTCAGTGTATGCACTGTTGACATTTTGTACCAGATAACTCTTTATTATGGGAAGCTGTCATGAGCATTGTAGGGTGTTTGCCACTATCTCTGGCCTCTATCCACTAAATGCTAATAGAACACACTCTACCAAAGCCCTCTGAGTTGTGACAAACAAAAATGTCCCTAGATATTGCCCAGTGCCTGAAGGACAAAATCACCCTGATTGAGGTCCTTTGCCCCACAGTGTATTCAGCCTGGCTACAAGAATAACCCTTTAACAGCAGAAACCAGATTGTGTAATACTGCTGCTAAGAAGTGACCAATTGATTTCCTGCTCACCTGGGAGAAAAAACAAGCTGAACGCCCTACATAGTCTACTACTCACCCTGACTCCATCTCCTTTACTCACTCCATTCCAGTCACGCTCATCTCGGAGCTGTTCCATCAGGACGCCAACAAAACCCTCCTCTCAGAGTCTGGGCACCTTTTCCCCTCTACCTGCAGTCTTTGTCCCATAACATCCACTTGGCTTACTGCTTCACACCCTTGAGTTCTCTGCTCAAAAGTCAGCTTCTCAATAAAGCCCTCTGTACTCACCCATTTAAAAGATTCAGTCCCTTTCCCACGCCTGATCTGCCCCGTACACTTCCTGTTCCTCTGCTCTAACTTTATTTTTAATGGTATTTCTCTGATGTAGTATATGTGTTAGTAATTGCTTTAATGTCTGCCTCTACCTAATAAAACATAAGCCCCAGGAGGGAAAGGATTTTTGTCTTTTTTATTTGCTGCTATATCCCCATCACATAGAAAAGAACCTATGGGAGGCACTCAATAAATGTTCAAGGGAGGGAAAGAGGAAAAGGAGGGAGGGAGGGAGAGAAGGAAAGAAAAAAGACCATGTTAGACCTGAAGGGTCAAGGCAGACACAGCTGATGTCTAAGATACATCTGCATGCACCGTTAACAAGACTGAGTTGTCTCCATAGAATTCATTTCAAATATAATTCGTAATATACAATGGAAAGTAAGGATTTATCAAAATGCTTCTGTGCTTAGGAATTTTTATGTAGGGTGTATTTGGAACACATACTTATAAATCCACTAATGTATAGATCTGAATATCTATAGATATATAAAATGAGTGGAACTTTAGGAGAAATTTTACAAAATGCCACAGGCTACAGTAACTAACTCCCCAGACACATAAAAAGAAGTGTACTGGGGTAAGTCAAATCATTCAATTATATACACCATAAGGTAGCTTGACAAGTAAAAGTGACAGTGAACAAAGCTCTTTTCTCCAGATGAAAGCCGGTGTGGTTCACTTGTGAGTGAAATAGAGGACTAGAACTGCTTCCTGCTGCAAGCTGACAGTTCCATGGAACCCCCTGAAGTTATAAATTGAATTTCTCCACTAATTACTGGTCTGAAGGGGACAAAGATCTGCATTTTATTTCTGTTGCTGAACTTGCAACACAAGCACTTGTGAATTTTACATTAGGGTCAAGCTGGGAAGTTCCCAGTCAGTTTTACTTGGAGGGCAGAACAGTGTCACCTCCCATGCAAATGAGGTCAGGTATTCTTCCTGCCTTGGGTGCCTACCAAGGAGATTTCAGTGTAATGAAGTCTAGTAGGGAAGTTGATGCAGAGAGGAAAAGAAAACAAGAAGACAGAGCAAAACAAAACAAAGATCCTATTTGAAATAAAATAATATTTATAAATTTGAAATTAACTATTATGGATTCTAAGAGCACATATTTCAAAAGGAACTGAGAATTTTATAACATCACTCACTGAAGTTAAATGCTACACCCATTGATAACAATATCAACTATTCTACCTACTCCTTGAACTACTCGTTGTAAGACCAATCAAGCTACATGGCAGGCAGATACTTGAATGAAACAGGCCCAGTTCTCCTGAGAGGAGAACCTGTGGTTCAAATACTAACATTTTTGACCAGATAAGCACTTTATTCTTGCCAAAGACCAATAATTTTTATGTTGATACTGATCAAGAACACTCTGGAAAAGGAAAGTGGATGGGGAGAAGGGGAGGGGAACAAAGGATTGTTGTGATATAGTATTTCAAAACAGGTTTTCTGAAAAGGAAAAATTACTTCATCATTTCTAATGTGTATCTTCTTTAATTTCCTGGAAAGCCAGAGTTTCCTCCCCCTACAAAAGCAGCAACTTCATTCAAATTAGGATAACAAAATTTATCAATTTATCCTTTCAACAAGCAATTATTAAATATATTCTCTTTGTAAAAGAAGAAAATGTAAGCATATTTATTGTGAACTCAATCTCTACCATTAAAATCCCCCTTCTTTCTTAATTCTTATTCCATTTACCATAATTTACTTGAAATATGACTGAACAAAAATAATCTAAGGGATACCTAACACACTGAGGTCTGACATCTGAGATTTAGGAAAGAAACCAATTAATGAGTATAAAATATTGACAAGATCTGGGAGTCATAAAGCTTGAAATCTTAGCTCCTTGACTTACTGGCTGTCTGAATGAATGGAAGACCCCTTGGGTCTCAATCCTCTTTGATGGAAAATGTTGTCACAGTACTCACCCCAGAAACAATTGTGAGGGTTCAGTGTGATGCTGGCAAGAACCCCTTCCCAGTACGTACTCAACGAACTATAGCTATTTGGGTCATCTTTTGGAAACTTAAACTTACATAGCACCATCCTTAATTCCTATGAGCACTTTTTGGCAAGACTTCAGAAACACTAACATTTATTTTACCACTTCAGAAGAAAGGATTTTCATGCTCATCTTCTTTAAAAAATATATAACCCTTGGAATTGCTGTGCTCCTGGATATCGCAAATAAATGCATGAAGAAGAAATTCCAACTTCGTGGACCCCTCTCAAAAAAATAACCAAGAAAATTCTTACCTAGTTTTGGCAAGGAATAGGGCACTTTAAAGTAGTCTTCATAGAATTCTATTAATCTCTTTGTTATATGGAGAGCATAGTCCCCGGATCCTCTTCTGATAGCATCGGGTCTTGCATATAACCGTACCTAATTAAAAATATATATAAAAGTTACTTTAGCCTTTTGGTACCCAAATTTTATCTTCCCTGCATATATGAATCTGCACAAATCACTTTGAATACTACAAATATTAAACAGTATTCTTGTTCATATATCAAAGCATGCTGTGGCTGAGAGAGCCAAACTTCAACAATTAAAGTAACCAAGTTGAGCAAGTAACAATTCCCTTGCTTCACAAGAAGACATAGAGAAGAGTTAAACACCTTGCATCAAAATAAATATTCAAAGTTATCACTTACATGTGCTTGCTAGAGATAGGAAGGTACGGTGGATTAGTAGAATGGTTCCCTGACTATGCTGAATATGCAGGATATGGTGGCTCAGCAGGAGAGAAGATTCATGGTTTGTTAAAGACACATTGCATCCAGCTTCAGAAGCATTACTGAGCTGAGCAAAAATATAAGTTATGCTTCCTTCTTTTCTTTGGAACTAACTGTCCTTATTCCCCATATGCAAAGTAGGGATAGAAAATTGTTCATGTACGTAAATGATTGCCATTCTGGAAAGCTGTTGGCAACAGCTCCGGGCTTCAGAACCAGCTGAAGTAATTCAGATTTCTAACACAATCCGGATACTTAATATTGATTTTTAAATCAAGTGTTGTATATTATCTAGTCCTGGCCAAAAAGAAGCCTGAGGCAAATAACATAAAACTGAACAAAACTAACAATTGTACAGAAAAGGTTAAAATGAGATTAGTTTTCATAAAACTTTCATAAAGCTATCCAGCATCTTTCTTTCCAAAGGCTAAATCTATTTTTCACAGATGTGGTCCCTAATCCTCATATCAATCCTGCGAATAATAAATATGTATTTTGTGGAACAGTGGCGAGCACAGCAGCCAGGAGTGGGGCTGTAGGCTCGCTCTGCTGCTAACCACACTGGGTGATACTGAACAAATTACTTAACCTCTTTGGGTCTCAAATGGTCTCATTTATAAAATAAAGGTGTTGGCCACCAGCTGGTTACTAAAGTTCTTTTCAGTTCTAAAATACATTACTTCCAGTCGCTTTTCACAGATAAAGGAGTTTCTATTCTTTTCAAATCACTAAATAAAATATTTGGTATTATTCGGCATGTGAAAATGGGTGTTTATATTCAACAGCAAGACAAAAGAAAGTTGTACTCAATCATAGAAAAAATGATTATACAATCAGCTCTTTATTATCCTTGCCTGAGGAGAGAGAAGAGGGATCTCAGAGAAATGTTTGATCAAAGAGAGAAGAAAGTTTAAAAATATGCATTCTGACTTTGCATTAGAAAGACATTATTTAATAAGATATCTACTAAATTAAATATCATTTATTTACTAAAATTATAAAGCTTCTTCCCATCCAATAACCAAATCAAAAGTCATATTTATTCACAATCACCTACAGTTTTGGCTGGCAGCATAGACACCAAGAACAACAGCAAGACTTAACACCTTTAGAGAGACAGTGGTCATAATTCCCTGCTCCTGACATCACCTGCCTATAAACAGGCAATGTCTTAAGTGAAGCTTCCAAGAAGCAGACCCTATGGAAAGGATGAGTCTACAGGTGATCTACCAAAGAGGTGATCTCAGGAGAAACCTGCAAGGGAGCACCAGGAAGCAGGATAAAGAAGAAGAATATGCCAAGCAAGGTGCAGTTTGAGGCGAGGTCCTGGTTTCAGCCTGATCCCACAGGTAGCTCTGGAGTATGAAGTGCACTGGTGCGTTTGCATCACCTTTACACATGAGAGCTAGATTCCCAAACTCCTGCACCTCAGTCATTGGATACTGGCTACTGAGGAGAAGGCATAAAATCCCAGGTACTTTCTGTTCTTGCAGCATTTGGCTATGCAGCTCCAGTGGCCCAAGTACAGTCCTTTGAAGATTATCTCGGGTGAGAGCTGGGGCATAGAGGCACCAGACTGGAAAGAAAATCTGTCTGTGTACCAATAGCATATACCCCAGGGAGTAACCATTCATTCATTCACTCATTCATTCATTCATTCAACAAATACTCACTTGACATCTGCTTTGCACCAGGCCTGGATTAAGCATTTTTAACTTAGCAATGAATAAGACAAGTTCTCTAACTAAAGGTGGTACAAAGCATTATTGAGGGGAAAAGCAATGCAAATGTAATCCCCATTCTCACAGAGCTTCCCATTTGTTAGGTAAGATAAAAACAGATAACGATAAGTGGTATATGAATGCTAAACTATAAGTGACGAATAGATACTGAGGAAAATATAGGTAGCTTTCACAAGGTTCAAGGTAAATAGTAGTTTCATGTGTGAAAGCCAAAACTAGGACCACTGCAAAATGATGCAGCAAAAGGTGACTAATTTTACTCCTAGCAAGCATCATCGATTTTGGTAGAAGCAGCTATTCCTAATAATAAACTCTACCACTTACTCAAGCTATCTGTAGGCCCAGACAAGAGAAACACAATTAAATCAATCTGGTTGTCACAATTTGATGGAAATGACTCAATCTCAGTGAGGAGATGAAATATACACATTCTTAGCACAGTGTCTTCATTTGTTCATTCAAACATTTATTGCACACACGCTGTGTGTCAGACATTGCACTAAAGAATAGAAATAGAACAATAAAAACTCCTACCACAAAATGAACAAGGCATTTACTCTTACTGCTCTTAAGAGGTTCACAACATGTGGGAAAACAACAAATAAATCAACAATAAGATGCAATGTGAGAAATGCAGCAATGTGCTCTGCCTTCCCTCCCATTAGAAATGCCAAAGAGACTGAGCTCCTATCCAAGGCCAAGTCCTCTGTATCCTATCCCCACTTGCCTTTTCAAATGTTTTCTCGAAATCCTCCTCCTTTCTCTCCCAAATCACTAATTTATGTCTCCATGCTGCATCATTTTCTTCAGCAAATAAATACTCTGTATTGTTTCTTCTGTTTCAGAACAAAATCTTGGCTGACCACAGCTCCTCCAGATAAGACTTCCAGCAATGCTCCTTGAAAGTGTTTTCTTCTATATAGTTAGGATTGGCATATAAGTAACATTCAAACTGCAACACTTTTAGAATAAAGGAGCACTGAGGTGTAAGCTGGGTAGTTGCCCACTTATACTCGGTCTATTTTCTCTTGAATTCACTACACTAAGGCCTTCATTCCCACTACTCTCCCGTAACTGCTCTCATCAACATCACGAAAGGCACCAGCATGCTAAATCCAACAGTCATCTCCCTGTCTTCAACATGCATAACCTACCAGCAAAATTTGACACAGTTGATTGGTTCTCCCCCTTCTAATACTTTCTTCTCTTGGCTTCTATCTTACTTTTCCATCTATCTGGTAGACAACTCCTTCTCAGTCTCCTGGCTGCTTCCTCCTCCTCCTCCTCCTCCTCCTCCTCCTCCTTCTCCTCCTCTGCTTAATGTTGGAGGACCCCAGGTTCCAATCCATATTTACTTCTTTGTCTACACTTGGTTCCTTAGTGATGACATCCAGACTTGTGGTTATAAATATCCCTCAGATCCTAAAGACCTCCCCCCATTACTTCCAGGCTTCCCCACTCATGAATCTGGCCACCCCCTTGATGTTTCCACTAAGATATCTAATAGGCATCTCAAACTTAACATGTCTAAAACCAAATTCTTTATCTCTCTCTCCTTCACATACACGCACACACCTTCCACCGCACACACACCTACCTGCTGCTTTAAAAGTATTTCCCTCCCCTTCTCCAAGCCCAATACCTCAACATCATCCTTTTTTCCCTTTCTTGCATGCTCCATATTCAATTGGTCATCAAATCCTTTTGGCTCTACCTTAAAAACGTACCTAAACACCAGTCAATTTTTAGAACCACAGCACTACCACCCTTCTCCAAGCTTTCTTCATATTCTGCTCTAGTATCTTTCTAATGTCTTGTCCTTTACTCCCCCAAATATGTCCTCAACAAACCAACAAAATATTCCTGTTAAAATAAACATTGAGTAGTATCATTTCTTTGCCTTCCTCCTCCAGTGGTCTCATCTCAATTTAGAGTAAAAGGCCAAGTTTTTAAAAGGACCCCAATATCCTTAAACACTATAGGCCACTTTACTCCTCTGGCCTCGTTGTTTATATTTTGCTCCACATTAACCTTACTCCATTCATACACAAGCTTCCTTTGCATTCCTCAAATACGCCAAAGAGATTCTCCTGTCAAGGCCTTTGAGATCTCCCCTAGATACCTCCCTGACTTGTTTGCTCTACCTCTTTAGATACTTGTTTTAGTATTTCTTCTTAGAAAAATCATCCCTTTCACCCCAGAACTTTCTATCCTCCTTCCTTGCTTTATTGTTTCTAGTAAGATTTATCACCATTTAACAAAAGATATGTTTTATGTACTCTTGTTGCTTATTGCAGCCTTTTGTCCAAGAATGTAACTTGCATGAGGGAAATAATTTTTACCTATTAGTTCTATAAAAGTGCCATTTTCGTAGGTCAAAATATTTTGTTTTGACCTACGTCAAAACAAGTATGTGACATATAGGAGGCAGTCCCAGCATGCTACTGAACAAGTCCTTTAGCTACCAAGTAAACCCAAGTGTAATCACATTCTCACGAAGAGTGATCACCCACTTCGTCGGTACCTGTGTCTCTCCAGAGCCCTACTGGAACTAGCCAGACCCAGTTGGAGGATGCAGATGTGGAGAGGAAGGAATCCAAATGATTTCATAAGATGAGTGATTCCTGTGTGATTAATCAAGAGTTTACTATCCAATAATTCCTTTTACTATGGAAAAAACTACAGTTGTTTTCTTCTTTTGGGTTATCTAGACTCTACTTAACTGTAACATAGAAGCTAAATCCTCATAAACATAGCTCTCACTCAAAAGCAATGAAATATAATTTTATTACACCTGTTTATTTGCATTTTCTGACATTCCGCCATAAGAGAGCAGCTCTGGAAATGTAAATTGCTAACCAGTCTTTCTCTCTCCTTCTGCATAGCTTCTTCCAACAACCAACGT